AGATCTGTGATTGGTCCAAAACATTACACAGTCTACGTTGCTGCAGAAGATGTTCTGTTACATTTTCGTCATCAACTTCCTGTTTCCCTTGCTCATAATTACCACATTATACCTCAGTGTTACTAAACAATCCAAAGCTGCAGTGGATTAATATATACAAGCCTGGGTCCTGCATCATCTTCAAATGCATTTCTACTTCAGTCAAATGTTTTTACACAGCTGCTTTGAGGTAGGCTTGTGCTTTATGCATGGCTGACACAAAGTAGCCGCAGTCTGTTTACATTGGTGTTATAAAGTTTCTCAGAAGCACCTCATTTGTTTAAATCAAGTGGTTTAATTCAGCTCTTCACTTTGTTTAACCATTATTCTGCCAGTAATGCAGGTTCCTTCCTGTGTCCAGCCAACCAGCAACAAAGGGACTCTTCAGGGTGATAAGTGTTATTTCCAGTTTTAAGGTGTGTGTGCCCAGTTATTTTGGCCACAAGCATGACATTTGAAAACTGCACACACACACCATCATATTTCTGCTTGAAAGCATGAACCAATCTTCACACCACTTTGACCTCACACACCCACACACATCTTTTTCAGTGGCACCACTGATAACGAAGACGGTTCCTCTATATGTGCAACACCCATATACTTCACACATGCAGTATCTTCTGTATACTTTAGATGAACAAACCAACACTATACTTTAAACACACGAGTAAGACTGCACAAGCACAATTTACAAAGACAATAAACAAAATAAAATAATTATTTTACTAAGGTCACAATGATACAAGGAAGTCCTGTTTACTCAGGTCCAATTTGAGAAACGTGAGAGAACACATTGTTTATACATAGAAGGAAAACTGGATGACTTAGGTTTCCAGGGATGAACGGGACTATTAAGCACATCACAACAGAATTCAAAGAATTTTTAGAGAAAAATAGGAGAAGACCCAGTGGTCCTTAACAGAGGGTGCAGCCAAGAGTTATTCTATTTATAAAAAGGGTAAGCCATTGGTGACACTGAGGTCATGGCTTCAGCATTTGTTCTGGGAATTTTGGGGACGGGTTGTTAGCAACTTTGGGGAACATTGCATTCCACAATTAAAAAATGACATAATAATAAGGAATAAGGAATAACGCTATGAAATAGACTATATAAACTATGTTTTAATTGGAGTACATTTCTGCAAACAATATAAAAAATAAAAGGAAACATAGGGGAAACATCAACGCCTGACCTCAGTGTTTCTAAACTCATGGTTAACGCCCTGGTTGGACCAGGTAATGGAGGAGGGAAGAAGGTGAAAACTTCCAAAGTGACTCCTAATCCTACCAAAAATGATCCAATTGTTTTCATTATACCAAAATCCAAACTGCGTCAGAGCAGCAAACCTGAGAGAAAACACGACGAAGCACTCTGGGCGTCACTCCCGTCCTCAGTCGGATTGGTTTCCAAACCTGCTCCCGACCTTCAGACACGAGCAGAACAGGGAGAGAGACCACTGTCCATCCAGCTCTGATTACACTAGTCAATTCCTGCATGACTCAGCAGAAAACCTGCCCAATTAAAGGGGCTGTTTCTGTATGTGAGTGTGTGTGTGTGTGTGCGTGTGTGTGTGCGTGTGTGTGTGTGTACATGATGCATGCTCCCTACTGGCTAAAACCATCCACCCTCAAACACAATGAAGCCCTTGTTTGAACAGATTTTCCTATTATTCCTTCTTCCTCTCCCACCAAAGTCTAAGGAAGGGCCTGATATCAAAGCAAATCAGACATTTATTTTGATATTTTACTGCAGTGTGTCTGGGCTGGTGGCTGAACTGAAGAGTAGAAAGTGACAATCTGCACAGGTGTAGTGAAAATGTGGTTTTTGGTACCGACCAAAATATGTCTGTGGAAAGAGCAGAGTATCGGAAACTGTCAAGTTCTGACACAGGGCTGATGAAAGTGGTGTAAAGGCCAAGTGACAGTCACACCAGGATTTAAAACAGCAAAAATGTGCACATTTTTATTGAACCAAATGATGTGCAACAGTGAAGAAAAAACCAGGGGGAAGAAAACAGAACAGTAGAGAGAAGCCCCAGGAGCTATTGTGACTGACTAGCGCTATACCCCGACCGGGCAAGTTATCAGTTCAGTACAGCAGTTCACCAACCATCCCTCTGAATAATCACTACCTCACCACTCTTCTGGCCCCACATATTTCGAGTGATTTCAAGTCACCACCGAAGTGTGCAACAAGAAAACATCTCTATAAAGATGGCGGGGGGGGACAATGACAGGAGATAATTCTCTGTAGGTTTGTCATTACAAGCGACCCACTTAACATTACACAGTAAAATTTTTATATAAATTTATTTTTAATTAAAAAATTCATTAGTGAAGCTTGAATCATGTAAGAATGTTATTTTCCTAAGTATCAAAAATGTATCTATTTGGTAACTGTGTCAAAAGTCAGGTATCGTATCGTAAATACCCAGCCCTACCTATACTCTGTAACTTAATTCTGTATATTGTAATAACTACTGTGCCATAAGCTCCAGAGAGGGGGGTTGAGCCATACTAAAGCACCCCTGTATGATGTGCACAAACATCATGCAGCCTCACCTGTGTTGATTTAATTTACATGTACATATTTTGTATTAAATAACTTTATGCATCTTCTTTCATCATTGCTATTATGTCTCTACTGAATCACAGCAGACAGGCCTGAAGGTAATGACGCTACATTATTCTGCTTCATTATAAATTTATAACCTCAATCAAATCAAAGTGTATTAGTCTGTCATAAATAATAGATGCGAGTCTGCAAATATAACCAAACCCAGTATGTCATTTTGTCTGCAGTGGTTCATTAGGCAGGAAGAGAGAGAGATGCATTCTGGAATGATGAAAGCCTGGATGATCTTAGCCAGTTTTGCGGAGGATAAAAAGGCTTAATTTTGGAGATACTGTATCTGTCTAGTTAAAGAAGAAAGATTGTTCAACACTTGCAAAACTCAGATAACTGCCAACAGTCATTATTAAATGTTAGTCTTTGGTTTTAACAAGGGGAGACAGTTTTACATCAAACAATTCAGATACCAATCAAGTAACAGATCTGGGAGTTAATCACGGCGCTCTGAAATTACCGCCGCTGCTGACAAAGACTCAAAGCCAACTATTTCAGATTGGGACACAATGGAACACAATTTTTTTTGCGCACGCTGCACATACAGAAAGGCTTTTGGGTGAGATGAGGCTGTTCAAATCATCAGGCTTGATATATAATGTGGGAGTCACTGACAACACGAACAATAAGAAGGGATGGTATGATTATAGATTATGTGATTGGGGAGAGTTCATACAGTGAGAGGAGGCTGAGATGTAAAAAGGTAAAAGGATTTAAGCTGGTGTGAAAAAGTGACTGGTGACTGGTGTTTTAACTCTAAAGTCACAGCTTCCTAGGCTAAAAGACATAGAATCAGAAGGAGCTTTATTGCCAAGTAGTGTTTTACACATACGAGGAATTTGCTATGGTGATAAGGTGCTACACGTAGACAAACATAAAGTCAACATAAATAAATGTAGAAATATATAAATATGGAATGGAAGAACAACGTTGTAGATATATACATGTGCATTATTCTGGGCCTGTGCCTTGCAGAAGTAACGCAACGGAAGAGAATATTGTGTACATATAAATTTATAAACTGACAACATAAAAATATGCAACAAAGATCAACAATCAACAACAAATATGTGCGACGTGCTGGGTCTGAGCCGGACACGAGATACCATGAGATAGTTACAAGGAGTAAAAGCAGCAAGCATACTTATATCTTATTCTACATGCATTAGAAATGTTAATGTCTGCATGGCCCTAAAGTTACTTAACCATTCAATAACAATGCAGCATCTCTGTATTTGACATTTTTATAATTGATCTCATTTTTGCTTTTATTAAAGAAATGCTTCAATTGATTTGTGGTCTCAAATATTGAGACTTTCATGCCATATACTTCTCAACCTGCCTTATGAAATTCTTGTAAACAATCTACAAATACTTGAACATACGTTTATAACTTTGAAACTGAGATGTTATGTCTGAGCCCACAAACACAAACAGACTACAGGTTGCCATTTTTGAATGTAATTACATAATCCATAGACTACATTCACAAGCCACCACTTTTGTCTCCTGGCAACTTCATCTCTCAAGGATGAATGAAAACAAGTGTTGAGGGGAACGCAGGAATGCCCACAAAATCGGGTTTTCATTGAAAACAAGGGAGAGTTGGCGAGTGAATTGCATGACTCAGGAAACACAGAGTATCTCTCCTATTTTTCTTTTGCAGTGGGAAATATGTCCAAAGAACACATGGACAGGTATGCACATACACAGACACACAACTACTGCACACGTACACAAGTGATGCTGCTGTACTAAAGTACAGTACCGCTACTTGAGCAAGTACAGTAAGTAGTTTACTAAGTAGCACTTGTGCTTTATAGTCGAATAGCCTTTTTCAGAGGAAAGTACTTACATGCTACATTTAATTGCAGTTACTAGGAACTTTGCAGATGTATAACAACAATATAATTATTACACATTATACAGTACATTTAACTACATACTTCTATCAAGTGGTTTAAAATAGCTCCAACTTCACTATCTACAACATTAAAATGATGCTTACATAATGTAAACTATAAAACTGACCAAAACTCAAGACAATAGCTCAAATGACATTAAATCTCTGCTGTGGAAGATGCAATGTGGCTGTGGACTCAAGAGCAACAACTGCAGTGTAAAAGGGGTCATTTGACATGACCCCGTGGGGGGGGGGGGGGGGGGGTAGTCTGCTGACAGAAGTTAATGACATGCTGCATGAGATGCTTCCGATGTTGGTACTGCAACACGCAAAAAGAGACATGAAATAAATTTCAGGGATGTTGCTGGGAAGCCCGATTTAACTAGGCTCTAACAGTGTGTGTTTGGGAGAGTGCAGCTGTGTACTCACGCCCTGGTCTTGGGGAAGCCCATGGACAGCAGCACGTCCAGCGTGGACCCATGTTTGATGGTACTTGGCCGGCTCTGGCGCTGCCTCCGCGGGGTCACTTTGGCATACAGTTCCTCTTTAGCTGCCATGGCTCACTGCTCCATCGGTATGTCAGGTCCTCTGATGCTCCTCTGCTGTATTTTCATTTATTAAAAATTTAACACAAAAAGAAAGATCGGAGCGGTAGACTTGTCTAAACCAGGATGACTTGTGTTAAGCGGAAGCGCGTAGAAAACACCAAACCCTGCGAGGAAACGAGCATTTCTCGGAGCTTGCCAAATGCTCTGAGCTGGATGAAGCTGCCTCCTGACGGCTCGCACATGAAGTCAAAACCATCAGCAGGGGGGTCAGCCATGGGAAGTCAATCCTGCTCTCTCAGCCGTGCCCCCGATTTACAGTCCCCGACCGAGGTGAGCATGTCTGTTTCCTGCTCGCCCTTCGCATCCGGTCCGCTGAATGAAGATTCAGATGCGGCTATATGAGCTTCCTTTCCATACGATGTCTTATTTATGAATGGGTCCTGAGTGAGCGGAGGTCCAGCCTGTGAAAGGCTGCAAATGAGCAGCCGCTTTACTTAAAGGGACAGTACACCGTTTGCGGGGAGAAGAGCAAAATATTTAAGTAAGGGTAAAACTGAAAGTAACACAGTAACTTTTTTCGGTCAGACGTGCTGTGGTTAAACGTGTGCGCTAAATTTGATCACAGTAGGCGAGGCAGTATGATGGAAAGTGTCGAGGTAGGGCTGGACGGTGGAAAAAGTTGGTCACACTTCCTGTCTGGTGTCCGACACACTCCGCATGCGCAGTGCGCAGCAAAGGGAGGCACACGCATTCATCAGTTGCCATAGCAACTCAGGGGCGAACTTTGAAAACATGTCCCTATGTATATATCAGATTTTTAATTAACTAAAATTTTAGCTGTTTTACGTAATAAATTAACACTTTTACTCCTATATTTAAGTGTATGCATTTTATTTTGAAATTCTGTGATGACATCATAGACTGGCAGAACTGGTTTTACTGCCCATAACTGGTAGCTATGAGGAAATGGTCTTTGCAATATTTTACAGTTTTCTGTGAAATGGGTATTGTTAATGTAGAAACATAGCTTTATATTATAGCCCATACCATCATGTTCAAGCTCAGGACTCATATAAACCATAGTGCTGGACACACTTTTTCCATGCATATAGGCTGATGGTGATAGTCTGCTAAATTTAAATGTAGCCTGTGCATTTTATTTTAATACTGATGTCTGTGGTGACACCATGGCCTGGTACAACTTTATTTCCCTTAACTAATAGCGTTGTTGTGTAAAAATATTTACATCTTTTAAAAGTAACAATACCAAAAATACTTTGTTACTCCTGCATTCAAAATGTTACTTAAGTAAAAAGTATTAGCATCAACATATAATTAAAGTACAAAGTAAAAGTACTGATTATGCAGAAAGGCCCATTTCAGAATTATGTTTATTATTAGATTATAATTAGTGATGTATTTATACATCAATTTAATGTTGCAGATGGTAACTGCTAGTTTGTGTACCCCCCCCCCCCCCCCCCCTTATCTTTACCTATAAATTTGTTGATTATATTTTATATTATTAATCTGAATCTGCAAAGTAACTAGTAACTAAAGCTATCAAATAAATGTAGTTATGAATAATACATATAATAAAAAGAATAATTTTGTCATAAAAACTCTTGTGGTTGGGCAACAGCCATCATTTTCAGGATCAGGACTCATGCAGCCTCTAAAAGGCTGAGAATCTTCATTCTTCAAAATGCAAAGACATGTTCACTGCAGCAATACTCAAAATTGACAGGAAATGTGTGCTATGCCTGCTTGAAAAACAGAAGTAAAGTTGCATTATCATCTTAAAAGTAGTTTATCTAAAGTATGGACATAAAGGGATGTTGGGGATATGAAACATGTTGCAAGGGGCCTTTAGATAATATATTGTATATACAGTCACACTTCTGATTCATGTGTAGCTCTATATGCTTCATGAACTATTGGATCATTTGTGTTGGAAGTGGTTCATGCATTAAGTAGTGACCCTCACAGTCACACCCCTCCCCCGCGCCGCCCACCATCTTTAATCAGTCACCTTCCCTCACTGCCACACTGTCATCCCCCACCCCACTGACCCCTCACCTGCACTCATGATCTGTGAAGAGGATGTGAACCACCTCTTCCAGAGGCAGAAGATCAGGAAGGCTCCTGGCCCAGATGGTGTCACCATCCTGCCTGAAAATCTGCACAGAAAAGCTGGCCCCCATCTTCACACAGATCTTCAACAGATCGCTGGAGCTGTGTGAAGTTCCCTCCTGCTTCAAATGCTCCACAATCATCCTGGTCTCCAAAAAACCCTCCATCTCTGGATGAAATTACTACAGGCCTGTGGCGCTGACATCTGTATTCATTTAGTCCATTGAAAGACTGGTGTTGGCCCACCTGGAGGACATTACAGGCTCCTTGCTGAACCCACTGCAGTTTGCCTATAGGGCTAACTGGTCAGTGGATGATGTCATCTTGGGACTGCATCACATCCTGCAACACCTTGACATATGCAAGGATCCTGTTCGTGAACTTCAGCTCGGCATTCAACACCATCATCCCGGACATCCACAGCACCAAACTCACCCAGCTCACTGTGCCAGCCTCCACCTGTCAGTGGATCACAAACTTCCTGACTGAGCGGAGTCAGCAGGTGAGGCTTGGGAACATCATATCTAGCACCCGGACTATTAGCACTGGCGCCCCCCAGGGGTGTGTGCTCTCCCCACTGCTCTTCTCCCTCTACACCAACAACTGCACCTCAGGGGACCCATCTGTCAAACTCCTGAAGCTCACTGACGACACATCAGTCATCGGCCTCATCCGGGACGGTGATCAGCTGGCTCCCTGGTGCTGCCAGTAAAACCTGGAGCTTAACACACTCAAAACTGTGGAGATGATCGTGGACTTTAGGCCCCCCTACTCCACCATACTCAACAGCCCTGTGTCTGCTGTGGAATCCTTCAGGTTTCTGGGTTCCACTATTTCCCAGGACCTGAAGTGGGAGCCCAACACTGACTCCATTATCAAGAAGGCCCAGCAGAGGATGTACTTCCTGCGCCAGCTCAGGAAGCTCAACCTGCCTAAGGAGCTGCTGATCCAGTTCTACACAGCCATCGTCCAGTCTGTTCTCTGCATGTCCATCACTGTCTGGTTTAGATCTGCCACCAAAAAGGACAGGAGCAGACTACAACGGACAGTCAGGTCTGCAGAAAAGATCATCGGGGCCAACCTGCCCTCCATTCAGGACTTGTACATTTCCAGAGTCAGGAAACGGGTAGGAAACGTCGCTGCAGATCTCACCCCGGACACCTGTTCCAGCTTCTCCCCTCTGGTAGGTGCTACAGAGCACTGTACACCAAAACCAACAGACACAGGAACAGTTTCTTCCCACAAGCCATCACTGACTGACTCAGTATCAGGAACAATTCCTGTGCAATAACCCAGTACCACTGTCTCTAATCAGCCACCTGTTTACCACTTATTTATTCATCACTCTCTCATTCTCTGTTTCAGAGCTCTTCATACTGTATACCAAATCCACCTACCTCAACTACATAATATCTGCACATAGGATACACATACATGTGTTCTCTATACTGTAGCCTGTGTGTCATTTTATTATTGTATTACTGTATAAGTAAGCACACCGTGAATAATGTACAATCCAGATTCCAAATTCCTTGTATGTGTACACATACCTGGCAAAAAAGCTGATTCTGATTCCTTGCCTATCTGTGCACCTGTAAGCATTTTAATGACGTAACAGTATTTAGAAAAGGATTGACTGTCTTCACCTCTTAATTCTCTCATTTGCAGCCGGTGACCTTGTCAGTTAAATTAACTTGTGCCACACCTTCATAAAAACATTCCCTTGTTTTCAAATAACAGTAGGCTCAATTTAACAACATTTTATTAACCAATACATAAGGCAAAGTTACAACCATAAGCTGATTCATCAGCGCTAATATTTCTAGAAACCTTCCCCAATTTAAATATTGTACCTGAAATATCACATAAATGCATGATATGTATTGATGTCTAACCTTTTCAAACCCCTTAAAACGCATGACCTGAGAATTTGTGATGGTATCAAATTAATGACACCAGAACAAATATGATAACCACAACTTCAGAACAGTTTGAGTAATTAATCATGATAGGGCTGGTAATCATTTAAAAACTTTAACATATCATTAACTCAAACATTAACTCAATTCCTTAAGTGTGAATTGAGTCTGTTTTTGTTAACAAGACATTTACTTAACTGTCAGTCTACACTCTTTTAATGTTCAATTAGTGTAGCCAATGTCGTCCAGAGCTTTACAAACCTGTCTCAGACAGCACTGACAGACAAATGTAATAGTAGTTCAACTAGAAAGGATAGAGAATGTGCACATATAAAAAAAAGTGTCATACAAGCAGTTGTAGTAGAGTTTGTAGTGAGGAAGCTCAAAGTCAACAGATTTTAAAATTGTTCTAAATTACAGATATAAAACAGCTTTATTTACAAGAAAGAAACTTAAACTGTATTAGAAAAAGAATATTGTACAACAGTTTTGTCATTTGTTAAAAACAACAAAGAAAAAAACAAGATATCTTTCAGAGGCACTCGGCTATGATCCACCTCCACCAACCTTTCACAAGCTGACTGATAAGAGAGTTGCACTGGAGGAAATTAAGGTGATGGGTCAATAAATGTTATAAAAATGTGATTATATATTAACAAACATTTTATCAAGACACTGTGTTTAGAGAGAAATGAGTGTCCACTGTACTCAAGTGTGATTTCCCCTAGAAAATAATTAAATATATTTATATACACCTGGATTTTTCCTATTATGGGTACAGGGAGTATCTGTACTCCATTTGATTTGACATGTTTACAGGCAGATGCATCATTAGAAAAGCAGAAGCACGCAGAAATACACACTCCAAACATGTGGAAAATGTCTCAGGCTTAAATAAGTTGCTAGTAGCCACAGCTCATTCTATTACAAAATCCTATCAAATGAAAGAGGTCTCAGTACCTTTCTGTGGTAAATTACTTCCCATAGCGTTGATACTTAAACCCCACACATCGATGCATCTGAGACATTAAAGTAGACAGGTCAGGACAACTCAAAATATCACACTGATCTATAAAAACTTCATAGAAATCCCACGCTGAGATGCATTTAAAACCAAGGTGCCCTGTTGTGACTGTTTATTGTAGACTATACCACGAATGATGACTTCTGTTTGAATTCCCCCTAAAAAACAAAAACATCAAAACATTACAGAAAGAAACATTTGTCCTACAGGCCCCAGTCTGTTAAACAGAGAGAAAAACAAAACTGTCCTTATCTTAACAGCCAGGCTCATACTTACATCTTCTTCATCACCACCGTACAATGACGGGGGCTGGTAGACCACGTTCGCCTTTGGTTTGCTGCAGGGAGAAATAAAAAGACATGTTGAGCTAGCCACAGAGAGAGCAGACCAGTTCATACAAGTAGTCAGTGCGGTCTATAGATTATCTGCCAAAATCCATTAGACATCATATTAAAAAAACAAAAGTAAATCCTCTTACCTTTCAGTCTTTTCTGTAAATGGAAGAAAGGAGACATCAGTGGGATAAAGTATTTGGTACATATCACAAACAGCAACAGTC